TTGGCTGAACCACCTATCCCAGAAAATCTAATGTCAATTGTGAAATAATGATAACAAACTAAAGCAGAGAACCACTAAGAGGTGAGACAGAGCTAAATAAGATTTTACAAGGGGAAAAAGACAAGATTATAGCAGAAACTCAAGTCTCATGGAAGAAAGCCTCTCCACCTGGTCGTGTCTTTTTTTCATAGTAAACAGAGAGAGTAAAAGAAAGCGATGAATGATCTTCTCTTCCCCTCGGATCCTCACTATTAATACATGTGCATCTCTAATGGAGATAAATGTAGACCAGTAAAAGAACAGGGGGATAAAACAGAGAGAGACAGTGGGAAAAAGAGGCGTATGAAGGGGGGCTGGGTGGAAATAGAGAAGGATGAAAGATGGATGGAGGGAATTAGTTGTTGAGGGAGTGACAGAGAGAAACATTGCTGTGGAGGTGGAAAAACACAAGTATCTCCACCTAACATCATGAAAGATAAATGACAAAACAGCATGTGCAATAGATGTGCTCTATATCAGGTGCGTCGCTTGACCTCTGCTGAAGTGGCACAAGAGTATAGACAATCCATTCACTTTGACTCTATTGCTTATGGGTAATTAATAGACTAGAGTAGCTATAATAAATGACAATGTTATTAAAATTACATTAAAACAATTTTTTTTATATAAACTATATAACTTATAAACTATAAATATATTACAGACTTTGAATTACATTATAGTAATTTTACATTATATAAACTACATATATATGTCAAAAAATGTATATATATATATGAAAAAAATGTACATTTATTTTAGTTACATAAAACTATTATGTAATTACACAATTACATTTGTTTCATTTTCAATGTCCCTCCTCTCAATATAAAGACATACAGTACAGGCTGCATAAACCATGTGAATATTTGGTTACACTTTATTTCGATAGTCCACTTTAGACATTCTATTAACTATAAGTAACTTTGTAACTACATGTCAACTACATGTCAACTAATTTTCATTAATTTGCAACTACATGTCTACTAACTCTCAGAGTAGACTGTTAGGGTAGGTTTAGGGTTAGTAGAATAAGTTGACAAATAAATTGTTAGAAGATATTAAGCAGACAGTCTACTAATACTCTACTAACTGCTAGTTGACATGTAGTTGCAAAGTTACTTACTGTTAATAGAATGTCTAAAGTGGACTATCGAAATAAAGTGTTACCGAATATTTTTACACTTCACTCCACCAAAATCTCCATATGGGTTTGGAAACAATTCAAATAGGTCTATGGACACAGGAACTAAAAAGTCCTTAATCTTTGAAGAGTCAGTAATTGGAGTTACAGAAGTAGAGGGAAACTATTCAAATACGAGTAGAGCACAGGAAAATGAATTACAATAATACTGGCCAGGCAATTTGATTTCTATGAGCTGAGTTACACTGTGGCCTAATTACTCAGAATGCCCAGGGCTCAGTTCTGGCCCAGTCCCCTTTACCTGGAACAGGTAACAAAGCTGGCACTCTGTAGCTAGACAAACACACACACACACACACACACACAAAGTGAGGGCTAATGGCCTGTTGTCAGCATAAAGAGTTAAGGCAGGCCTAGACAATGATGAACCTGTATTGCAAGAAGAGATTAGATGTTCACTGCAGAGTTACAAGGTGTGTAGTCCCAAGAAAACTGTTCAGGATGAGGTTGGCAAGAAACTTGTGCACTGTGTTACAGGTAAACTTTGCTAACTGCAAGAAGCAATGCCCTTTACTTGTGAGTAGCAGTGTTTAGCATGACACCAAACAAATGTTGCTCACAAATAACCTTACTCACTATATGAAACAGTCAATTAAATGCTAGAGACAACTCTTATAATGAATTTGCTGAACTGGTGCATTTCCATCAGCTCCCCACATAACAATATTTAGCTAATCACAAATGTTAAGCAGACAAATATATATTCATAATGTCACAACCTCTGCACTTTTATCCCAGCTGCTGAATACTAGTTTTGAAATTGTTTGGATGGGTTCTGCAACATCTTTACCTATAGGGCAGCTAAGGCAGTTGCAAACAAATGAAGAAGTTTACCTGATTGGCAGTGAATGTGGATATTCCTTCACCAATTTCAAGGGTCTGATCCCCAAGGAATGCGTGAACTGATAAAATGTATAGCTTGAATGCAATGTTAATCACTTTAGATAAAATTGTCTGCCAAACACGTAAATGTACATGGACAAATTAAGACCTTCAAAGACTGTGCATGTGATGTTGAATGAAATAACTGAAAGTGATTTTGCCCATACAACCAATACTGTGAATTCAAGTTTCTTAGCTTTTTGTTAAGCTACTCAAATCATCGTACAGTAATACCTCTCTAAGAAGAATCTAAAGACCTGCATTTTAAATACTCTGATTTCAGTTTGCATTTATTCATTTAGCTGACACTTTTTCTCCAAAGTGACTTGCAAGTGAGGAATACTACAACAAAAACGATTCATTAAAAGGAAATAATAACATTAACAGTACTGCAATACAAAATTGGCCAGAAGGGTACAAGCTAGTGCAGAGATCCAACTACAAAGATATTAAGAAAGGGTTCAGTTTCACAAAGGAGTACAGAACAAAAATGACTATGAATAGCTGTGAACTGAATGCTTGAGGAAAAGTTGTGTTTTTATGGATTTGAGAGCTGTTCTGGCTGAGTTTGGAAGATTGTTTCACCAGTGCAAAACAACCATAAAAACAACCAAAAAAAAAGCATTGTAAGCCTAAGCAGCAAATCGAAGAAACCACTGCACCAATGGTCTCTATAATCTCAAAATGCTTTTGGGAAACGTACCCCAGGACATTCATCACCACTGTTTTCATCATGCAAAAAAAACAAACAAACAAAAAAGAAATCATATTTTTTGTCATCATCAAAATTAGAACTGATTTGGCCCCCGGGCCTTCAATTTCTGTTTAATGACTCCACTACATCAAGGGAAGGAGAGGAGATAGAGAGATCACTGTCATTTATATTAATTCCATTAGGATCACTCTAGTAACATCATGCCAAGAATACTGAAATGAATTACACTAGCAGGATGACAAAAATAAGAGATGTCCCTCCCTCAGTGACCCTGGAGGATCAAATCTCACATCTGTCCCCTGCTCAACCTTGAGGGGGATGAGTCAAGTTGGCGGTTACAGTGAAGAAATGTCCAGCAAGAGCAATGTTACCATGACAACAGCTGAATGATTGACAGACAGGTGACAGGCAGGATGTGAGTGTCCCATTCCAGGAAATCCCCTCGTGCCTGATGTGTAATCCTCTTTATGAAACAGGACAGACTGCTGAGGTATCAGTGAGACTATGTGTGTGTGTCCAATATGTGGGAAAATATGAGCCTGCAACTTCATCTTTCTCAGAAGTGTCTGAAGCTCTTCAGTATCGGCTAAACATCCATTCATCCATCCATCCATCAACCACAAACAAAGTGCCCTTTAGCCACTGCTGTGCTTAAGAGATACACAGCCTTAAATTATTAAACACTAGACAGCATATATATGTAATAACAGACAAATTAATCTGCGCTAAATAAATTTGTCATTATATAATGAATGTACAATCATTTAGTCAATCTCACAAACGATCAACCTCAAACATGCACATCTTGACATGTGATCACAGGTTAGCTGGAGTGTGTGAGTCAGCTGAGATGAGAAAGCGTGAGGAGATTCTGACATTTTGAGGGTATGGAATGTCAAAATGAACCCAGTAGGACAGCAAACCGTGACCAAACCACATTTCTAAAGGGGATACATCTTGATTCACTTAAAATGTTAAAGCAAGATAATTATGGTTAGGGCCAGTCTAGTTATTGCAATTAATTTATATCATGAACAACAGTGTGTTCCAAACGTCCATTAGTGAACACACTTCCATATTTGCTCCTCTTTAATTTAATATTACAAAAATCACAAATTATAATATTAGTGGAGTAATTTGAGTGAAAGTTTGAATGTCTTGGTATTTGGTACATCTCACTTTTGCATGAAAGACAGCAGCACTCAAGCTGGCATGGACTCCACAAGTTTGTGTAAATCCTGAAAATCCATGTTATCCCAGCTTTTTTTTCCCAGACTTAACATGGTGAACACCACAAACTACCTCTGATTAGTGATGCAGAATTTGTGCAGAATCTTTTTTCTTCTGCATTTTATATCATAGCTTATCTTGGTTTTCACTTTTTCTAAATCCTAAAATTTTATTTTCAAGCTTAAATTAAAAAAAGAAAAAAAAAAACCTTTTCAATGTGGACTTTTTGGACTCCAGTGTGTATATGTCTATGTACTAATACAGAATAATGTTTTTTGAGACTGATCAGAGATATGGCAGTTACAGTGACATGTAGAATGGGTACAGAAAGAACGGTTACAGTTCAAGCTAACACTTTGTAGTCAAACGGCATCCTCTGTTGGACCAATATTGAATTGCACAGAGTACAAAATCTGAGACTTTTTGTAGGATTATCCTGCCTTTTAATTCTAAATATTATTTTGTACGTTTTCTTCCACTAATACAAATCATGAAGCACAAATGCACTTTGTTTTTAGGGGTGATACCTGGAGTTTGGCATACTTAAAAGCTCCTATCGAGAAATACATTTAACCTGACAGAAATCTTGTCTTTAGAGAATAGATAATATCTTTGAGATTTGAGATGACCAAGTCAAGTATAAACAGTACAAATCCTCATAGATGTAATGTTTTATTTCATGCTATGACCAGCATCATCACACATAATTACACAAAAGAAAATAAGAGGGAAAAAAGCCTTCTGAGGCACATTAATGAAATATGAAATATATAAATATTTGGTACAATGTAAATACAGTATGCATTGTTCCATTTCCATTCAGGGAATTTGATTTGATGACCAGATTAATTCAAGAGGTAAAATATGTTGCTTACATTCATATTTTCTTTTCTGCTTGAGGGCAAAAAAATATATAAAATATATATATATATATACTTTTTTTTTTTACACAACAGCATGACCTAAGGGACTATGCCATCAGATAAAGACAATTGGGACCACATCATTAAAAAGGTGGGAAGGAAAATGAATGTGCTTTGGTTTCCTTCAGATATTTCACCTGAAATGTGTCCAGAACATTTCATCATGCCCTGAGGCAGGAACATTATTATTTTTTTCCAATGAAATCATTGTATAAAACACTCTTGGTAATTATCACAGGCATGGCAGGCCCTAATATCACATTCATAGAGATGATTATGAAATATTGCATAGTACCACTGTTCATTTGATATCCAACATTGTGCTAAACAACAGTTTATAACATATGCAGAAAAAACAATTTAAAATAGCATTACAAATATTGATTCAAGCATTTTACAATTTTTAAACCCACTAAATAGGCCTTTTAAGGTATACAGTGTCAAAACCTCACAATATACAATAGAGATAAATCTGTTTTCCTTTATGACATTTAATCTAAGCAATCGGTAATTTAAACTCTCTTTGGTGTCTTTTCCTTGGCATACAGCAGATATTATGTATAATAGCCAACCTGTACCATGTGCAACACTACACAAATTCCTTTCAGTAGCACATCTCACATACTGGAATCAGAAAGCCACTAGAAAAAGCCTATTCCTCACCATTTTCACCATCTTTCAAAGGCAACGCTGTTACTGATTGCTCTGTATATGCGCAGCGGCCATATCGTCAGCACACACAAATAGTCTGCCAACTCCCACAGGGCGCTAATGCGATTTATGCTGAATACACATGTAAGTAACATTGTACTTTAATCCTTGAGCATAGTCAAAAAGGTAGAGATGGATAAAGAACAGCCAGAGATGGAGGCCAAAGAAGAGGGAAGGATTTAGGATGCAGACAGAAAACAAAAATGAGTGAGGGAGAGCAGATGTCTACAGTCCCGAGAGTCCCATTGGTTCGGCCTAATCTATCCAGTGGACGGCGTGTTTGACTTTCTCCATCCATCTCTGCCTCCCACAGCTACCAATGCAAATCTGCAAGAGTGAGATACTGTAGGACCCTTTCATAAGCACAAAAGACACGGAGATGTATTCCTCAGTATCTTTACATGTTCCTTCTATCCTTTCTCTAAACCTCTGTTGCCCACTCTAGATCTGTCTTTCTATTATTCCAGTTCAAACAGTGCTGGCAAACCTATCACCACAAAATCCCACATTCCAAAGCATCTTTCATAATTCCATTTTACCCAGACATATGCAACAATGACTGACAAAGAAAAGCCCTTAGAATAACACTAACACATACTGCTTATTTATGTGCAGCTTAGAATCCAATCAGGAACCAAGAAGATACTAAATCTGCATCAATCAGTGTCGTCAGTTCAACCTATCATTATCCAACTAATCTAAAATAGTCTCTGAAACTTGATACAGCACCATCTGCATTTAACTTAACATAAAAAAAAGTCAACAAAAATAGCTTCGAACAGCATTGGTTTCATCGTTTCTGTGGGCTGTACAACAGCTTCTGATGCATAAAGGACAAGGCCTAGATTTGCAAGTTATTCCTTGCCTTTTTCTCTCTTTCTGCTTTTGTTATTTTTGACTGTAGAACAACTCAAGACTCACCAGTTAAAAGAAAAAAGAAAAAGTACCTGAGAAAGGGAGCAAGCAGGGTAACTGACGGACTAAAGAAAGAGAAGATTATGGGATCAACAGTCGCAAACTTCTCCACACATACACACACACAAAAAAAATTACATCGATTTCATCATGTACCTTGGCCTAGTTGGTTTTCCAGTTCTACTGCCCTCGGGATTCATTGTGGAATACAGCAGAAAATAGTAGTTTCCTTTCTCAGTAGTATTGAGTAGCAGGTAAAAAAAAAAAGTCTTTGAACTCTACAGAATAGTATCATTGAATAAAGTCTACTTGATGTGCAGTCTGCCAATGGGGATTTCCTTGGGATGCAATTGAATTTCGATTTTATATGAGTCGCATAACTAAAATCTATCCTTGCCCGCTTACTTTTGTTCTCCCTGACATTTGTGACACCTGTGAAACTCATACAATCCCTCATTGGAGTGTCAAGCAAGTGCTTTGATTGTAGTCAGCCTTGTTGAGCCAAACAGAGGGAAGAAAACCCTCTGCGGAGACTCAATTTTACTATTTGGTGTGATACAGTAGCACAGTGACATGACTATGTCCTCTATAAGTTCTGTCGTATAGGGTTTCTGTCATTTACACCCTGGGCAGTGTGTAAACCAGCTCAGTCCAATTAGTAGAACTTGTCGTCAATGCGGAAATGCGGGCGTGTAACGTCATCTGGGTTGAGGAAGACTGAAATAGACTTGCCAGGGTTTTCTGTCACCAGCTGTTGTAGACGCTGTGCTAGCCGGTCATCCTGTGGTGATCCTGCACCATATCCGTGGCTAGGTGATGATATCCCATGGCCATTGCTCGCAGCTACTGCGGCCTCACGTTTGAGCTGGCATGCCTGTTGTGCCTGCTCCAAAGCTGCTTTTAAGTGCTCTGCGGGATCGGAACGTAAATGTGCAAGTTTTCGTGCCAGTAGCAGGGCAGCGCTGTCCGTGAGGTGCTCCAGCATGTTGCACTGGGGGAGGAAGTAATTAGGACTGTTTTTGCCCAGAATGCAGTGAGCCAAGTCATCAAGTAGACCAAGGAACATCCGTGCAGGAGTCTCGTGATCTGGACAGCTAAGGTAGGTCGTAGGCAAACGATCACAAGCCCAAAACATCAAGGTACGTAGGTGGTAGAGGCTAAGGCCAGTGCGAGGGCGAGCTAACAGTCTTGACAGCACAGCTTTAGCTGCTTGGAAGGCTTGTGCCATTGGGTAGGGCACGCATTTCTTTAGCTGAACCTCACTGCGGGAGAAGGCAAGTCTCCATTCGCGGTCAGGTCTGGTTGAGGGGCTGGCAGCTGGAGAACAACAAGGAAGCAAGTAGAACCCGCTGATGGCCTCCTCCTCAGTTATTTTGCCATCCCAGAAATGGTTGGTCGTGAGCCAGCTCTGTGCGACAGCCGGCCAGCCGCGAAATGACACCACTGGAAGCAAGTCGTAAAGGATACGGCTAGTTCCTGCACTGAGAATCAGCGTTGTTAGTGGACCATTCCGCTCCACACGATCAGGAACAGGAATCCCTCTTTGAGGATTTCGCTGCAACTCTTCCACCGCCGTTCCAACTACACTCCAGAACCAATCAGTAACCAACAACGGAGAGAAGTAACATCCATCTAATGATTGAGGAGGCTGCAGGGATGGGATTGAGCCTCGTACTGCATCATTTTCTTCCTCCTCATCTTCCACATCTTTATCGTCTCTATTTTCCTCGTCTTGACAGCAGATACTCCAACGCGTCTGCATTGCAGGGTCGCAGAGGCGCAGACTCAGCCACGAATGGCACAGTGGGGAATGCCGCATGTCCAGTGTCACGGGCTGATTGCGGTCATGCAGTTTAAGAGCAGGCACCAGAAGAGTGAAGTCCAAATCAAAGTCAACACCTTTGGCGTAGTCACCTAGGTCCTCTGGGTTAAGGTCAAGAACACCTTCCCTGGCCCCACCTGATAGCAGCAGGTATTCATTGGCAACCGGCAGCCGCTTGTCTACCTTCTGCACCAGGCCTGTGAAGATGAAGAATATTCATGACAAAAAGAGGTAATATCACCTGTCTTTAAAAAGACAAATGAAAGGGTAGGTAGACATTGAATGCGAAGGAGTGAGAGGAGAGGGCAATGTTATCATACTTCTAAACAAATTAAAGGGACAGTAAGCAAAAAAAAAAAAGAACACTTTTTCATCATTTATTATGTTGTTTGCATGTTGTTCCAAACCTGTATGAGTTTCTTTCTTCTGTTGAACACAAAAGAAGATATTTTGAAGAATGCTGGTAACAAACAGTTACTGGTAGCCATTGACTCATTGACATTTTTTTCCCATACTATGGACGTCGATGGCTACCAACAATTGTTTGGTTACCAACTTTCTTCAAAATATCTTCTTCTGTGTTTAACAGAAGAAAGAAACTCATACAGGTTTGGAACAACTTGACAGTGAGTAAATGATGACAATTTAAATTTTTGAGTGAACTATCCCTTACTGCTGGAAAATTCTGAAAAAAAAATTGTTAGTGACTTATAGCGACTTATAAGTTCTTCTTGTAACCAACTGCCAAAATATATGAAAAAATATTTCCTTACATTATTGTTCCCAAGGAAAGTGCACTAATAATAATCTTCACCCTACTAATGAGGAAAAGCATCTCCTGGCCGAACTTCCTGACCGGTTTGTGTCTTGCTAAATGGCCAGAGGTGAAATGAAGGGCAGAAACATTCAAATGTGCAGCCCAGTGGCACACAACTGATTATGTGCAAGACTCAATTTAAAGAAAATTCCTGGCATTTAGATAAATTTCATACTTTTAAATCTGTAAGAATATAAGGCTGTAGAACAAACATTACAGAGAATTTTTGTAGAAATACATTAATAGTCTCCCTCAATTCTGCTTTTCAATTCAAGCCATTGCTCTCCTTTTCAGATGTAACCCAGCTCTATAATTCTTTAAAATGACCATCTTGCCTGTTAATATTTTATGAATGGCAGAAACTTGTCTACACATATTTATTTAGGATTATTTACCACAAACTCATTTTATTTCATTTCAAACCACTGTAATGAAAAGAATGCTTTGAGAGGAATGACAATTACTGAATACTGCAAGTATTGCTGCCATATGGATGTGTTACTTAATAGTGCTTTAATGACCCATAATCTGAAGACAATCATTCACTAGAGAAATAAGGAAAAGAACTGTCCTCTTGCTGGGGGTGTTAAATTCATGCTGTCCAACACAAGCAGCAACGACTTTAATTACTAGTTTGTTTATACAAATGAATTTGTTACGTTCATTAGTCCATAAAGCAGAAGCCAACAGCACCAGGTGCAGTTCACTCATCACTCCCTCATACGTTCAACATTGACCACTTGAAAAAAAATTTCTTTTTTAAATAATGCCTTTAATATGAAGCATCACTCTCCATGACAGATGCCAAAGGGAAGCTGATTAGCATACATGTGTACTAGTCACATATCAGAGCCCATTATGCACTGCTGTCAAAGCATGAGTTACACATAGGCCTAAGAGTTTGAACTCATTCATTTGACATTTGTGATGTTTAAGTTAAATAACTGTAACATTACGGATTTAAATAACACAAGATGCACAGTTATAATGATGCAATGTAATCTGTCTGTCCAAGCACATATACATTATCATTAATGTGTGTATACTGTATGATGGATGAACAACCTTGGATCCCATTTAGGGCTGCACGATTAATCGAATGCGATTGTCATGCGCATTTGGTTAAAAAAGTCGGTTCTGTAATCAGCAGGAAATCATCATCACATGCTTTCAGATGGAGCAGAAAAAATGTGATTTTTTTACATTAAAGCATGCTAACATATTCTATTACACCCGATACACAAAATAATTATCTTTGAAAATAGCATCATATGACCCCTTTAACAAAATGTTCCCTGATAAATAGTAAATTTATTACATTTTAATTTGTTCTGATGAAGGAAAAAAAAAAGTTAGCGAAAACCAACACGACTACACGAAAAGAACAATACACATATTTACAATTTAAAAACCGTTTATGGTGTTTGTTGCGGGGACCCTGTGACCTTCACTCCAGGACAACAAAGCTGAATGTTTTTTTTTTTCTACAATAACAATGATCTCTTTTGCCATTTACATTTTTAACACTGTTCCAATTTAATTAGCTCCTCTGGGAGAAACACGTTTGTAGGATTGTAGTGAGTCTAGAGGCTGGCATGCAGACGGTATGTTAATGTATGCAGGTCATGGAAGCGTGAAAATAGAAATCATGATGATTGCTAAAGGAAGCAAACAACAATGCCAATTTAAATCAAGGCACATGCTTTACATGTATCTATTCAGGTCTTCTGAAGTGAATTAAAATCTAAACCCTGATGGACAGGTAAGGGTCACCAAAACTAGATCATCAGTTTTCCATTCATACATAACGAGGCAGAATTTTCAAAATGAATGCTAAGGAGCACCCTACCTAGCATAAAAATAAAAAGCTTTCTACCCATCACTCTCAGTAGGTGTGTGATGGATGTTGCTTTGATAATGTCTGCATATTTTTAGTGAGCAAGAGATGGAAACAGCAAGCAAGAATAATAAGTAGGCTTTTGGCTGAACATCAAGGGGTTAAAGACGAGAGAAAAAGGGAAATGAAAGCAACAGGAGGCAGACAAAAAGAAACACAAAAGTTACACTGTCAGGAAAAAATAATAATTCAACCTTGTCAGTAAACAAAGGTCCAAAAGTAAATCCAAGTACTGGATCATTCACAGGTAACAATGCAACATGTGAAACAAAAACAGAAGAGTGGAGAAGAGAGGAG